GTTACAATAAATAATTTCATTGTAACAAATGTTTCAATGCAATGTTTAAATATGGTATATTGGTAGTAAAAAATACACATTTACCAGAACTAAATATTTTTAAGAAATATAGTTAGGAAATATTTCTTTCGTCATAGCTAACTACACATTTGTTAATATTAGATAAACGTTTTTCTGAGTGTAGATATCTTACATATATTGGCTGCGTTCCGAAATTGTCTGCCAGTACTGAAAATCTATAGTTCACGTTACGTATACTGTAGATTTTCAGTACAGTCAATTTCGGAACACAACCATTGTAAGTCAAAAAATAACATTGATTTCAGGAAATGAAGGATGCGAGAGGTCGGTCGAGCCTGGAGCCATTATGGACAGGGTGGAGGAATTAATGAACGATCCCGTATTGGTTGATGTAACTGGGGGCCTGCCTAATGATGAATTCACTGCGTTCGGAATGCTTGTCGCCTCTAAGCTACGAGCCCTCAGTGTGGATGCAAGTGAATCGGCAATGCTCGCAATATTGCAGGTTTTACGTGAATCGAGAAGAAACGATCAGCAGTAGATTTATTTTCAATATTTTTTTAAATTTTTATTATTTTTATATTTTTATAATAAAAAGTGTTAGTAAAATATGCAAATCAATTATTTGTGCCTATTAAATTGCCACGGTATTGATCCTTCATTACAAAAGTAATCGCAAAATTGATCACGAATTGCCATGCAGTTTCGTGTACTTGTGTTGGTTCCACAATTAGTAATATCTTGAAATGCGCATCCATCCTCCATTATTCTCTGCCAAGTACCTGGTCGAAAAGTATTTAAATCTGCGCTTTCTTCGTCGATCATATTTAGGGGGACATATATATTTCTTCCGATGTCTTCTTTTCGGAGCCAGTTATGCAGACACACTGTTGCTTGCACGATTGATGTAGCAGTTTGTGGCAGAGCAATAATCGGTTTACGATACACTCGCCACTGACTCGCTAAAATACCAAATGTATTCTCGACCATTCTTCTTGCACGACTTAACCGATAGTTATAAATATCCTGCTGCGGAGTCAATCCATTTTTGCCTGGGTAAGGTCTAAGCAGATATGGTTTTAAGGGGAAAGCCTCGTCTCCCACAAGAGTGAATGGTAAAATTCGTCCACCTTCAACAGCTGCTGGCTTCGGCACGTTCATACATTGAGAATCGAAATTTCTCCCTATGACACTGTCTCCAAAAATTCCGCCATCACTTCGTCGGCCGTATGCTCCGATGTCCACAAATCGGATAATGTAATTTGCATCGCAAATACACAATAGAACAATGCTGTGCGATTGTTTGTAATTAAAATAGGTGGAACCGGCGTTGTTGGGACACTGAAATAATATCGAATGGTTATTTCAAATAATGAATTCTGAATTCTTATTACTTCAGAGATAAGTATTTCTAAAAAATACAAACCTGTATGGTCACATGTTTGCCATCAATGGCGCCAATGCAGTGGACAAAATTTGTTTTATCCTCGAAATCCTGTGCAATATCTAACCACTCTGTTTCAGTTAACGCAGATGGTAAAACTAGCGGATGTAAGATATCCCAAATCGCTTTGCACGTCTCTTGAATTATGTTGCTTGTTGTGCTAACTCCTACGAGATATTGGTATGACATTGATACCATCGAATCACCAGATGCAAGATATCTGAAATAATAATGAAAGCATAGAAGCAAACACTAAACAAATTTTTGTACTATTACTTATTATGTGTAATAAAACGTAACAAACCTTAATGTTAACGCCAAGCGTTCTTTAGGTCCTATGCACTCTCGAACAACATTCATTTTTTGCAGTTGAGCTCCAACTAATAACAACAGTTCTTCCAACTGCGTTGCCGACATTCGAAAATAGTTAT